TTCTAACATTTTTCAAGAAGAGGGCCAAGCCGGGTGTGGTGGCGCACACCTGTAATCCTGGCACTCGGGAGGCTGAGGCAGGAGGATGGAGGTGAGTTTAAGGCCAGCTTGGGTTACATAGTGAGTTTAAAGCCAGCCTGACCTTCATAGAGAAACCCTGTCTCAAAAACAGACAAACAAAAAAAGAGGGCCAGCAGCCCTCCTGCGAGCTGTGGGTTGGACACAGCTGTCTGTGTGGACCTCTCCCAAGCCAGCCTGCCCGGAGCCCCCCACCCCAGAAACCCCTCTGTGCATGCGCTGGGCTTGTGTCGCATACTCAGCGCGTGGCTGTGGTCCGGCCCCCTGCCTCGCAGGTGCAGGCTGGTTCTCACCAGTGCTATCTGTGCAGAAGACCCTGCTGCTCACGTTCCTTTGCTTGTGAAAGTGTCTGAGATCCCTGAGCATCTCCAGAACCTCCCAGAGGCCCTGTGGGCCCCGGCCCAGTTAGTTCGCTGTTGTCTCTGTGCGATCCCTCGTGCCACCTGCTGGCTGATCCTGGAAATACACCTCAACTCCCTAGTCCTGAGAAGAGATTGGCCCATCCTGCCCATCTCCCCGACGGCCCAGGTTCTGAACGTCCTCTGTGGAGGGGACCCTCCAGCCTCTGCCTGCTTCCCCTGTGCAGCAGGCAGTGCCCCCCCACCCCAGTCCCAGCCTGGCCACTTGCCCTCCTGGTCTCATGGCTGCTTGGGGTCTGGACTCCTCGCCTCCCCAGCCCCGTGCTCAGGACGCCTCCAGGCAGCCAGCCCCTCCTCCTGAAGCTTGTCCCAGCTCCTTGGGTAGCGTCCTATGCTGAGCACTCTGCAGCAGTGCAAACGGGGTGGCAGCTGGTTTCTCCCTTAGGGCACAGAGGACAGTGAGGGCTCGGGTCTCCCCTCCACCCAGTGCCTGGTGGCGGAACCTGCCAGGCCCTGCAGCCACACCGCAAGCATGTGAGGGGCCAGCATCCCTTGGTTCCTGGCACTCTACCCACTGCTCTGAGGGGCACAGCAGATCTCCACCTGGGCCATGGCATGCTTCCAGGGGTGGCAGAAAGCACTGTCACCCTTTCCCTTCTCCTCCCCGGTTTATTTCCCCCGAGGCTGGGCAAGGCTGGCTTTTCTGCCCGCACCATCTGCCTGTGTGACCCTGTGCCCCCGCCTCCACCGCTGGGCTGGGGTCATGGCTCAGCTGCTAAAGAGGCAGGAACTACTTTGTCCACACCTCGGCTCCATGAGCACTGTCAGCAGGTTCAAAGCCCCGGGGAACGGGCGGGTCTCTGCCCAGCCACTTGGCTCCCTCTGTGCCTGACCACCCTGCGTGCCCAGCACCAGCCAGCAGCCCCGCGCCACCTCCATGCTAGGGGAAAGGCTTTGTGTGGACAGGACAGCAGAAGCTGTCGGTTCTGCTCCAGCTCTGCTACTAACCTGCTGTGAGGTCCCGCAGCCCCTGGGCTGGAGGCTGGCTTCCCCATCAGTGACAGGAGGGCTGAGTCAGTGACCCTGAGGACTTCTTCCAGCAGCAGAATTCCGAGTTCTCACCTCACATCAGCTTCATCTACACCCTCTGTCAGGGGCCATCCCGGCCAGCTCCTACCTCCCAGCAGGCCCCCCTACACACACACCTGTTGTGCTAGCATTGCCCTCCCAAAGGCATGGCCACGTGTCAAAGGCCCCCGAGAGAGCTGCTCCTTATCCCTTATAAATTGCAAAGAATCCGGGTGTGGTGACGCACACCTGTAATCACAGCCCTCAGGAGGCTGAGGCAGGAGGATCGTTGCAAGTGCAAGACCAGCTTGGGCTACAAAGTGAGCTCAAGGCCAGCTTGAACTGCATAGGGAGACCCTGTCCCAAAAAGCCAAAAAAAAATATACGAAGCGAAGATCTCCACACCACACACTGCTTCCCACAGAGCCACAGGTGAGATTTACCGGAGGGAGCAAGGCACTCCCTCTGCCCACGCTCCACTGTCTTGTGAACCTCCCCTCTGCACATCAGAACCCCGAGAGTGATTTTTTACAAACTGGTTTGCTTCAGAAAAGGATTTGACCACCCGGATATATGTGAAGGTAGAATCTTCCTCTAAGTCTTTTTTGGGAGGGGGGATGGTAACACAGGGTCTTGCTCTCTCACATTTCCGATCTTACTGCTTCAGCCTCCTGCATGCTGAGATCACGCACTGCATGCACCGTCCCACCTGGCCTCAGAGTCTTCTCTTTGTTTTGTTTTTTTTTTTTTTGGTTTTAGTTTTTCTCTGGTACCGGGAACCGAACTCACGACCTTGCGCTTGCCAGGCAGGCGCTTTTGCCGCTGAGCTAAATCCCCAGCCCCTCAGAGTCTTCTCTTTATAAAGCTGTGAGCTCTTTGTGAAAGTCCAATTCTGAGTTTTCAGAAGCTGTTGTCCTACACCCTGTGTAGAGACTTCTGCCTCACTGTCTTGGGTGCCACCCCCTAAACATCCGTGCAAGGGGCCTGTGGGGCCTCAGGCTATTTCTGTGTCCCTGTGTGGTGACTCGGGCGTCCTAACTGAGACGAGTGAGGCTGGCTTGCAGTATCTCGGCCCCGAGCGCCCACTCCTGCGGGCAGAGACATTTGAGCCGGTCACAGTCATGTGACCACTGCTCAGCAAAGCCCAGGGGACAGGGTGGGGGCAGAGTGAAGACTCACAACAGAGCCAGCAGCTGCAGACACCATCACTTTGAAGGGCTCCAAACCACCAGTAGAGGAGGTGCTGGTGACCTCGCCCTGCCCGCAGCACCAGGAAGGCTCCCTGACTTGCTGGCTTCCATCTTCTACCCTAGATGCCCACCGGGGGCTTCGCTCCTGTCCTGTCTGCACCAACAGCTGAGAAAGGAGGTGCAGGCTACCCAGGCACCCTAAGACCCCCACATTGCAGGATGCAGAGATGAGAGTGCCAGCCATAGCCCTCAAAGGTTCTAAAGTCCCACAAGATCAGTCCTGAAGGTGGGATTAAAAGCTCAGGCCTGTCCATTTCCAGAGCACCTTGTTCCTAATTGCCTCCTATACCTATTTTTTTGTTTTTTGAGACAGCCTGGCTTTGTAGCCCCGGCTTGCCTCAAACTAGAAGGAATCCTCCTGCCTCAGCCACCAATGTGCTGAGATTATAGGCGTACGCCACCACACCTGGCTCCTATACCTATCGTGTGCCTTTGATCTCCCTGAACATTGGATTTCTCACTACACGTAGAAAATACCAGACTGGGCTAGCGGTTTCTGAACTTTTCCAGACACATGACCCTTTCTTTACATGACATCTAGAACCCCCACTGACAGCCTGTTTGCTGAGTCTGTACGTTTCCTAGTCTGTACGTGATCAGCCTTGCCTCACCTTTCTTCCAACCCCTCCCTTCTGACTTCTCTCTCTCTCTTTTTTTTTTTTTTTTTTTTGGTTTTTTTCTGGTACCGGGAATCAAACTCATGACCTCGTGCTTGCCAGGCCCGCGCTGTGCCGCTGAGCTAAATCCCCAATGCCCCCTTCTGACTTCTCTCCTGAGTCCCCCTTCACATCCCTTAATGCCACTTCGGGCAGAGCTCAGTCACTTCCACTGTTCATGTTTACCCAGCTGGGTGTGCCTGCCTGGTTTCCCAGCTATGTGAGAGGCTGAGGCAGGAGGATCCCAAGTTTGAGGCCAGTTTGAGCAATGTACTGAGACCCTTAAAAATCAATGCATGCAGTTTTTTCAGCCTGACCCCCCACACGGTGCCCACACCCTCCCGGCCTACATTCCGCTCCTGCGGGTTTGGCCTGCGGTCTAGAGCACACACCATGAAAAGAACAAGGTTGCCTCGCTCCTGGCGCCTTTGCTCTCCTCCCCAGTTGCTGGGGCAGGGAGGAGGGGGCAGAGAGGCGGGAGCAGAGGGCCTTGACTGCCCGGGGTGGCTCCCAGCCTGCTTGGGAGCCCTCCCGCTTGGTGCTCCACCGTCTCCAGCAGTGGGGCGCCGAGAAAGGAGGTGCAGGAGGGTGCTGGCCGGGCGGCTGCCTTCCTTGGTGCTCACGGCACCTAGGCCTCCCGCCCTCCCTGGCCCACCCTGGCCCTTTCTGGCAGTTGCCGGCTGCCCCCTGCACCCCCATCCGTCTGCTGATTGTCTTCTGCCAGACCAGCCACGAGCGCAGACCAGTGAGGCCTCTGCAGAAGGAGACGCCCAGCCAGAGACTGGGAGGCCGTGTCCCTGCCCTTGGGCCCCTGTGCATATTTGAGCACTTCTTTGTAGGCCCCTCATTTGGCCTGGGCAGGGGCTAGGGCCCACCTGAGCCTCTGCAGGGAGGAAAAACCCGAGGGCCTCTCCAAGGCAGGGACTGCTTGTGCCAGGGATTCTCAATCCCTACTGCGCAGCAGTTGTGAAATGCTAACCAAGAACTGCCAGCGTGCTGGCCCCTGAGGGTGGGTGAACGGCTGTAGGGAGGGGCAGCCAGGGCTAGGAACCACGGCCCTATCCCCGTAATAAACCCCACTGAATGGCGGAGGAAGGGCGTGTCTGGCCTGATGAAGGCCCACAGGGGTTGGGGTGCCCCTTTATAAAGTGGGGGAAGAGTCTGGTGCCCTTAGCTCTACGGCTTTGGTCACAATTTGAAGGTACCAGCAGACTTTCTGTTCAACACCCAAGGACCAGCGCTTTGCACCCCTGTCCTAGCCGCAGAGCCCTTCTTTCAGTGACATCTTGCCGGAGTCCCACAAGTCACACAGGTGCGCTCCAGTACGGAGCTTTGCCCGCAGTCTTGGGACCTGGCCTGGATGCGAAACAACTCAGGTTGCTCCGGGTCCCTCCGGGAGCCTTGTTGCTTGTTAGCTTGGAGGGATGGATGGAGGAGCTGCAGATGGAGGCGGGGCAGGGATAGGGGCCGGGGCAGGCCCGGGCGTGCACAGCGAGGGGAGCAGGCTCGGGAGGGGGGCCTGCCAAGAAAGGCCGTCCCTAGGCTTGAGCCCCCAGAAATGCGTGCTCCTCCCCTGTGCCCCTGAACAGGGGGAAGAAGAGCAGGCACGGCCTCAGGACCTGCAGCCGGGAGCCCCGCCGGGGCAGCAGGAGGACGGGCAGCAGGACAAGTCCGTCGGGGATGACGGGCCCGCCTCGGAGCCCCTCTGTAAGGTCCTGGACACGCCTCTGAGTGAAGGCGACGAGCCCACAACGCTGCCGGCCCAGCTGGAGCACGGGCACAGCGTTCAGATGGAGGGCTACCTGGGCCGCAAGCACGACCTGGAGGGGCCCAACAAGAAGGCATCCAACAGGTGCGTGGGGAGGGGCCGCGCCTGGGGCGGCTGCACCCGTCGAGCCGCGGTGACACGGGGGAGCTCCGGGGCACCCCCGGGCCGGCTGGGGGCCACCTGGCATGACAGGAAGAGCCTGTCTCAGTTCTGTCATGGGCAGAGATTGGGGTTGGCCACGACCTAGATGCGTTTGAGATAGGATTGGACTGGTGCAGATCTGTTTCTTTACAAAGTACTGAGACAGCAGACTGGGCCTATATCACTAAAGCAAAAATCACAATCATCACCCAGAGCAAACCCTGTTCAGCTCACGTCACAGGTCTGTAGTGAGAATCAAGTATCTAATGAATGTAGAAATACTTGGAAAAGGTTACCGTGTTTGCCTTAAGACTGTATAATTCTTTTCCTAGAAATGTTTCTCAAGGTAAGAGCAGAATTATAGGCAAAGATTTATAAATAAGAATGTTCATCACATTGCTATTTAAATTGTGTATAAATTTTCCAGTGTTATAAGGTCCACCAATAAAGATATTGTGTGTATGTGTGATGGGAAACCATTTTCTTTAAAACTATTTTTAAGAAATATTTGTGGACACAGGGATGATTAAAATATATAATGAGCCAGGTGTGGTGGCGCACACCTGTAATCCGAGCACTCAGGAGGCTGAGGCAGGAGAATCCCCTCTAGTTTGAGGCCAGCCTGGGCTATATAGTGTGTTCAAGGCCAGCCTAGACTACATGGCAAGACCCTGTCTCAAAAAACCAAAAACAAACCAAACACTCCCCCTTGTCTCAAACACACCCACCCATCATTCTGCCACTTTCTGAAGCGGTTCTAAAGTCCTCTTTTGTGAGTGTCTTTATGAGCTGTGATAAAAAAATACAGTGAGGGGCTGGGGATTTAGCTCAGTGGCAAAGCGCCTGCCTGGCAAGCGCAAGGTTGTGAGTTCGGTTCCTGGTACCGGAGGGAAAAAAAAAAAATACAGTGAATGCAGGAGCCAAGCGCCGTCCAGTGGGAAGGTAGGCTTGAAAAACATTACGGCATGTCCTCACCCACCTTATTCACCTGACCCTGCACCATATGTCTTCTTCCCCCAAAGTAAAAATGATCAGGAAAGCTACACATCTTAAGTCAATTCCAGACACTGAGGCAGCCACAACAGCACAACTAGAAACAGGAAAGAGTCTTATATAAATAAATACTCATACTGTTAAGCTTGAAAGCCGTCCACATGTATCTCAGGGTGGTAGTTCTTGCTCTAGTTCTAGCCACTCAGAAGGCTAAGGCAAGATGATCACAAATTCAAAGCCAGCCTGGACAACTTGGCCACTTAGACTCTATCTCAAAATTTAAAAAAATAAAAATAAAATGTAGCTCAGTGATAAGAGCACTCCTGGGTTTAGTTCCCAGGGCAATCCAGAAAAGAAAAGAAGAAAAAGAAAAGAAAAGAAAAGAAAAAGAAAGAAAAGAAGGCTGAGGCAGGAGGAGTTTTGTGAGTTCAAGACCAGCCTGAGCTACAAGGTGAGCTCAAAGCCAGCCTGAAATGCATAGTGAGACCCTGTCTCAAAAAGACAAAAAAAAAAAGGAAGTAAGAAAGAAAGAAAGGAAGGAAAAGCAGGATGGTTGGGCATGGTGGCACACTCCTGTAATTTCAGCACTCAGGAGGCTGAGTCAGGAGGATCATTTTCAGTTCGAGACCAGCTTAGGCTACAAAGTGAGTTCAAGGCCAGCCTGAACTGCATAGCGAGACCCTGTCTGAAAAATAAAATAAAATACAGGACTCATAGGCTGTGCATGCCCAGGGAGGGCTCTGGGTTTGACACCAAGCAATACACACACACACACACACACACACACACACACACACACACAGGATATATAGTATAATCTGCTCTCAGCTATGTGCAGAGAAAAAAAGTAAAGTAACATGCATATTATTTTTGTTTCCCCACTCCCCTCCCTTCTAGTACTGGGGATTGAACCCAGGGCCTTTTTTCATGTTCTATGTGGAGACAGGGTCATGCTAAGTCATTAAGTTGCCCGGGTGGGCCTCAAACTTGTGACTCCTACTTCAGCTTCCCAGAGCTCCGGGGTTACAGGTGCAAACTGCCCATGCCTGGCTTTAAACAACAAAAACGTGTTACTCTTTAGGAGGGCAAAAATGAAACAATAAAGAGAAACAGTCCCAAAGCTACAGGAACTGGCTGCGGAGTCCGATCAGGACCGCCAGTGACCCGCTGTGCCCATCCCGCAGGTCCTGGAACAACCTCTACTGCGTGCTCAGGAACAGCGAGCTGACCTTCTACAAGGATGCCAAGAACCTGGCTCTGGGGGTGCCCTACCACGGGGAGGAGCCCCTGGCCCTGAGGCACGCCATCTGCGAGGTTGCAGCCAACTACAAGAAGAAGAAGCACGTCTTCAAGCTGAGGTGAGCCTCCCGCCCAGCCCTTCCAGCCGCAGGCACAGAGCCAAGCGGAGGCCCATGCCGACCAGCTCCCCGAGAGCTGCTGCTCACAGGTCTCAAATCTGCAGACTCACAAAGAGCGGTGCGGGCTCCAGGGGCCGGGGGATAGGCCCGGGGATGACGGGCCCCAGCTCGCCTGTGCCAGGTAAAGGCCCGCGCGCGTGAACCCGGGAAACCCTTTGTCCTCCCAGGCTGAGCAACGGCAGCGAGTGGCTCTTCCACGGCAAGGATGAGGTAAGTGCCCAGGGCCCCAGCCCAACCGAGGGGGGCTGGAGACCCCGCTTGGGGCGGTCCTGACCCTGCGCCCCGCAGGAGGAGATGCTGTCCTGGCTGCAGGGCGTGAGCACGGCCATCAGCGAGTCCCAGAGCATCCGCGTCAAGGCCCAGAGCCTGCCCCTGCCCTCCCTCACCGGGCCCGAGGTCAGCCTCGGCAAGAAGGACAAGGAGAAGAGATTCAGCTTCTTCCCCAAAAAGAAGTAGCCGCGGGCGGCCCCGCGGGTGTGGACGCGCAGGGACCCGCCGCCCGTCCTCCCCGCCTGCGCCTGCCCTGCTCCCGCCCGCCCGCGGGCCGCTGCACTGCTGCGCCGGCCAGCACGCCCACCCCGCCCCGCGAAGCTGGAGCAGGCTACGGGGCTCCTCGAGCTGCCCAGTCCCCAGCAAGCCTTGCTCGGGGTTATGCCCACCTGGTCACAGCCAGAGACAGGGGAAGGGAAGAGGGACTTGGGGCGACTGACCTGTCCACGAGGGCAGGGTGCTGCTGGGGACTGAGGGAACAAGGGACGCGGGCCTGGGGTGCGGCCATCCGCCTCCCCACTGGGCTTCCTCAGAAGGGACTCGCTCCTCAGGGCCTGCGTGCGCCTTCCTCTCTCCTCAGGGGCACAGCCCCCTGCCCCGTTCATGGGTCCCGAGGGAAGAGCCTCCTGCTGCCCCAGCACCCGTGGGAGGAGGAAGGACCAGCAGCTCTCAAACCATTCCTCCAGAAGCCCTGGGCTCGGAAGGGAAGGAGGGACAGACGGGTCCCGACACTGCCGAAGGCACAGCCTGCGGCCGTACCCAGTAGCAGCCCAACCAGCAATAGCCAGCAGGCGCAGGGCCCCCAGGGAGCGGCGTGGGCCCCGGTACAAGACGGGCACCCCAGTGCTGGAGGAAAGCATCCCAGAGCAAGAGCCTGCTGTGTCCTGCCTGTCTGCAGCCACTACACCCAGGAGTACCAACCGGGCAGAGAGCAGACTTAGCACCTGGCATGGCAAATGTGGCCACACCTAGGTATCACCACCACTACTAGCCCGTCTACCACGACAGCTAGGGTTAGCGCTGGGGCCGGAGCAGAGGGTGTGGCCCTTCTTGATCAGCTTCTCCTGCAGGCCTGGCCTAGGGTTCTGGGGGTCACTTACAGAGGTCGCCAAACACCTACCACCCCCATATCCGAGCTCCGAAAGGGATACTTCAGTCTGTGCTCAGACGGAGATGTGCCCATGCTTCTGGAAGGGGACCCACCGGGCCCCTTAGTGCTGACCAGGGCTCCACAGACTTCCCCTGCCACGACTCCGAGCCAGTGTCAGCATCTTCCCTGGGCCATAGCCAAGAGGGGCCATGCTGGGGGCAGCAGGTGTGCTCTCCAAGGGAGGCCGTGAGGGTCCCCAAGGCGCACGGCCAGTTTCTGTGGCCCCCCCGTAGGAAGCAGGCTGTGTGGGGATGAACTGGGTGAGGCTGAAGAAGACACGGGGGTGGGGGGCACCCAGGTATGGGCCCTCTCGGGAGCCCCTTACTGCGGGCCTGGGCTGCAGCCCTGACGCTGTCAGTGACCCCAGTTCCAGCAGACAGGAAGCCCAGGAGGGAAGCTCTCTAGTGGAAACTGACATCCCAGATCCCGGGCGTTTCACCTCCACAGCCAGGGGCCCAGGGTCTTCCTTTGGCCCCAGCTGTAGGACCCTGTAGTCCTCTGCATCTACAGGGAACCTTGTTTGTGGCAAAAACCAGGAAAACCAAGGCAAGAGGCAGGGAGGTGACAGCGCGCCCCTGTGCGTTTGCGCGCATGTCCACCCCTAGGGCAGACAGAGGGCTTCCTGCTGAAGGGCGGAAGGTGGCGAGCAGCTCTCGGGGCTGTTCCCCTGGGCCAGTCTTTAGGGAGCCAAGTACAAGGGCCCACCCCGTCCCCTCCGAGTGTGCCCAAGTAGCACCCGAAGAGAGGCATTCCCAGCAGCTGACACCGCAGAGCCAAGACACTGAGCTCCAAAGGCAGAGCTGGGACTTAGCGCCCCAAGTCCCCTAGACTGGGCAAGGGCAGCCAGCTGCATGTGACCCACCACCTCCTGCCAGCTCCCCACGCATCCCGCCACGTCACCCAGGCCCCAAGACACTCGACCAACCGGACTGACACCGCAGGCGCCCACCCCTGGGAGACCCTGTGCCACTCTAGGGCTAGGCTCTCCTGGTGCCCCCGCAAGGCACCTCTTCCTTCCTCTATCCCCCCCATTACATTTTCTACTCTGCAGTCTTTTCCGTACAGTATTCCCAAACTAGGTTGGCACAGCCCCAGTCCACACCAGCATAACGGGCTTCCTCCCCAAGCAGGCTAGAGGAAACTCCTCCAGGCATGATCAGGCGGCCCTCCTTCCTCTCTCCTTCCCTGTCTCTGGTCTCAGCTGACTCTGGCTGAGGGCGGAACTGGAGGCGCCTGGGGCTCCCAGCCCCACCTACCTCCACCAGCGAGGTATCACAAGGAGGCCTGTGTCGGGCTCGGCTTCCCCTCTACCCTGCTCCTCTCTATGGAAGCACAGCCAGGTCCCCTAGGCCAATCCCGGGTCCCCTTCCTCCCTTGGTGGGAGGAGGCAGGGATCCAGAGGAGGATGAGGCCAGCAGGCCACATGGCTTGGTCCCTTGGTCAAGCAAGCTCAGGGAGGACGCGAAAGAGGTGAGCACAGTGGAATGCACCCCTGTTGGACAAACCATGTCATCTGGGGCTGGCCCTGGGGCCGGCTGGGCCTTGTCCTCTACCTGCTCAAACGTGCTTCCACCAAACCAGAGGACACTCATTTACTAGTTTTTCTAATAAATCAATAATGCTCTACATCTGTCTGTCTTATTTGAGTAGCCTTGTTCCTCTCTGAACGGGGCCTCAGGGTCTGACGCCAGGAGACTAACAGTCAGACTCTGGCTTGTTTCCAGAGGTCTTAGGACTTTGCGGCCACACAGGCCTCAGCCCCATCCGAGGCCCGGAGACAAACGCCATCCTCTGTGCCCACCGAGCTGAGGGCCTGCTGCGGGGCAAAATCACTGCCCAAGATCAGTCCGGGCCTTTGCCCTGAGAGCTCTAGACTGATTCCGGCCCTCACTGGTCATCAAGGTCCCCAGTTCTGCACCTGGGGACCCATCTGCAGAGGAGCAGTTTCACGTGGCCTGGATGGATTGCAGGCACTGCCTGGCTTCAAGACGCTCCCAGGGATCCCAAGGGGCAGCCAGTGACAGTGGCTGCCCTGTCCCAAGGTCCCCAGACACAGCGGGTGGGGTGTGGGCATGACGTGGGGAGAGGGTTGGTCGGCTACAACTCTCAGCCCCATCCCTAGAAGAGCGGTCAGGGGATCGAAAGCAACCACTCCTCCATAGGGATGAAGAAGGGGCACGAATTGGGGTGACTCAGCTGAGGACGAGAACCTGGGTCACCTGTCCAACGTGCTTGCGGTACGCAGCACTGTGTCCCGGCCTTGCCTGGGAGGAGCCACGGGTGTTCTCGGCGCCCGTGCAGATGACACGGAAGATGCAGGCAAAGATGGGCATGATGGTGCCTGCCTGTCATTCCAGCCTGAGACAGGAGGATCGCGAGTTTTAGGCCAGCCAGGGCTATGCTGTGAGTTCAAAGCCAGCCTAGACCACAGTGAGACCTTGTCTCAAAAAAAAAAATCAAAAAAACAAAAAGCAGAGCGCTGATAGAACAAGGCTAGTTCTGCCACATGTGCTTCTGCATAAGGGACCGTCACTCACCTCTGATCCTCCCTTGACCTTCGAGGCCCAGCGGACATTTCAGGCTGAGGCCCTCCTCCTAGGCAGAAGATTCAGCAGAGGCCCTGACCCTGAGCAGGTGCTCAGGGAACCTCGCAGAGCACCCCACCACCTGGGCCCTGAGCCCCTCCCTTCCCGGCCACAGCCAGAACCAACCACCCAAACAAGGCTGGTCTTCCACAGAGAAAGAGCAGGAAGTCCAATTAGCAATAGAGAGGCATTCCTGGCCCTTTTGAATCAGGTTTTTCTCCCCTAAAGTGCTAAGGATTAAATCCCAGGGATGCTACAAGAGGTAATTAAAATATATGATAAATGTTTAATTTTTAAAAAAATTATTACAATAAAAGACACATTACCATTAATCCCTCTCAAAATACTGTCCCTTTTTTTCCGGTACCAGGGATCAAACTCATGACCTGCGCTTGCCGGGCAGGCGCTGTGCCGCTGAGCTAAATCCCCAGCCCTTTTTTTTTTTTTTTTTTTAAGTCTTTTTGAGACACTGTTTCACTTTGCAGTTCAGGCTGGTCTTGATCTCACTTTGTAGCCCAGGCTGGCCTCAAACTCATAGCGATCCTCCTGCCCCAGCCTCCCAAGTGCTGGGATTACAGGGATGTGCCACTATACCTGGCCTCTTCCACTTTCTTTCTTTCTTATTTATTTATTTACTTATTTATTAAATTTATTTTTTTTCTTCCCACTTTCTGAAGCAGTTCTGGAAGTCCTCTTTTATGAATGTCTTTACAAGCTGTGATCAAAAATACAATGAATGGCATGGCCACATACCATCCAGTGGGAAGGTGACTCATAAACACATCGAGGTATGACCTCATCCACCTTATTCACTGGCTCTGGCACACTGTGCAGCCTCCGCCTCTTCCCCAAAGTCAAAATGACCATGAGAGGTAAACATTTTGAATGGACTCAGGACATCAAGGCAGCCACAATAGTAGAACGAAAGACAGTCATAAAGGAGGTCTTCCAGAACTGCTTCAGAAAGTGGCAAGAACGACGAGGTGTGCTTGAAGTGAAAGGGAGTATGGGAGGGCGATTAACGGTAATGTGCCTTTCACTGAAATCAAGTTTTTAGAAACTTTTTTTTTTTTTTGTCTTTTTGAGACAGGGTCTCGCTATGCAGCTCAGGCTGGCTTTGAGCTCACTTTGTAGCTCAGGCTGGTCTCGAACTTGCAACAATCCTCCTGCCTCAGCCTCCCGAGTGCTGGGATTACAGATGTGCGCCACCACGCCCGGCTTAGAAACGTCTTTTAACATCACAGCGTTCTACGACCACACCTTACACACCCGCAACCCTTTTTATTTTTTATTCTGAGACAGGATCTTGCTAAATTGCCCAGGCTAGCCCCTAGAAAGCATCTGTTTCCTGAGCCTCGATGATGAATGAATGAGTGTAGAACAAACACCCTGCTGCCCCTAAGACATCCCTGGCCCACGAGCACCACGTCCCCTCCAGTAAAAAGGCCACACACAGGTCCGCTGGTCAGCAGTGGTTATTGCACCATTGGCAAATAATGAAACATGTGTACATCAGCGACAACAGCGGGGTCCGCAACAACCCTCCCAAGTACCTGCACTAAGTCCGGCACATTCTTCACAGGAGGGGAATAAACAACAGGAGGACACACACTTGCTCACACGCACACACGCGCGTGCACACACACACACACACACCACAGAATGAAAAGCAATAAATTATTGGCCTCGTTTCTGCCCAAGTCCTAAGAAAAGGCACAGTTAAAGAGCAAAGGCTGCCCGAGCCACTTCCGGGGTCTCCCCCCGGGCCCTCGGCCTGGCGGTGACCAGCCAAAGCCCGAGGCCTGAGCACAGGCAGCACTTCCTCTCCCTGGGCAGAGGTGAGCTTAAATATCTGGCTGTTTGCCAGAGAACTATTTACAAGAAGGTGGCCACACCAGCCTCGGAGGGGAAGAACGGCTCGTCCGGGCTGGAGCACAGGTTATCACAAGCCGCAGGGGTGCGGCCACGCCTCCACTAGAGCTTTCCTCCACCGCGTGGGCCGGTCCTCGTGGACACGTCGGGCTCTCGTCCATCCCCAACACGGCTCCTCCTCCCACAGGACTCAAGTCAACCCACAGAGTTCAAAGCCTGGAATTTTTCTCTCAGGTTTCTCACTCGGCCCTGCTTGCTTGGGTCTGCTGGGTCCCTGGGTCCTCTTCCCTTCAGCTGGGAGTCTCGGCCCTGTCCCTCCTCGGCCCGCGGCGAACTCGGTCCCTGCGCGCGGCCCTCCTCCTCGGGCCCCGCGGTGGGGCTGGGAAGGGGCCGCTTCTCCAGGACGATCACCCGCTGGTTGTTGTCCAGGGTGAGGTCTGCAGTGACGCACAGGACCTCGCCTCCGTTCAGCCGGCTTTCGTTCTGCGGCCCAGGGGGCGGGGGCTGGGCATCCTCGCCGCCTGTCCGGCTCCTCCTGGTGCGCAGGCTGCTGCAGCGGCCCACCCTGCCCGACACGGGCGGCTCCACCATGTTCTCGGGCACCGAGCGACTCCGACCGACCGGCGGGGCACGGGGCCGGCTGGCCTCGGCCTGCACAGCCTCGTCGTGGGCATACTTGGAGCGGAGCTCTCGGACGTCGGGCCAGTGGAAGGTCTCGGTGTCAAAGGAGCTGAGGGGGCTCCGAGAGGACAGCCGGGCCCCTGGCGAGGTGGTGCTCGGGCTGCCCGAAGAGGGGCTGAAGGAGAAGCGCCGTGGCGACGTCTCCCCCGCAGAGGAGGGCTTGGGAGGGCTGTGCGCCTGGGCCCCCAGGGGCTCAGAGCTGAAGAGGGACAGCACGGGCTTCCTCTGGCCTGTGGGGAGAGAGAAGGCCACCTGAATCGCACTGCCAAGAGCACAGCCAAGGAAAGAGACTTCCGTCCAACTCCTTAGGCTCACGCTGCAGGCCAGGCTGGTTGCTGGGGTTTTGCATGGGAGGGAAGAGAAATCCAACTTACCACCTACTGCCCCTTCGTCAAAGGGGGATGCAAAGAATGGACGAAAGTAGTGAGGGGAAGGGGCCAGGGATCAAAGGGAGAGGAGACGCTGCGCTCCTGCTCCTCCAAGTTCCCTTTGCTCCGGCCGAGGGGCTTGGGGCGGGCACCGAAGGGCTGCACGGCGTGCAGGGTTGGCCTTGGCTGAGACTGGCTGCCAGGGCTCACCCCCTCTTGGGTATGACCTTGCCCCCCGATACTAGTGCTGTACGGTGAGCCCCACCCTTATCCGTGGCAGGACTCTGGAAGTGGCACTGGTTACTAACTGGCTTTTCCAGCCCTAGACTTGCCGTTCCACCGTACCTCTGCCATCAGACAGCTCGGCGGCCTCCTCCTGCAGGCAGGGAATGGTGGGGCTCCTCCCGTCCGTGCCTGGAGCGGCACTCTCCCACTGCAGCGGTGGCCGGGCCGCCACCGACTTGATGCTCTTGATCCGGAGGCTGTACTGGCGGGCCAGCTGGTAGACCTTGTTCTTGACGCGCTCGCTCACGTGGCTGTCCATCACATGGGACAGCTGCACGATGCGCGGGTGCAGCGGGGTGACCAGCTCCCCCTGGGCCCCGCTGCTCAGCTCCTTCACCAGCTCCTTCAGCTCCCGGGCCAGGCGGGCTTGGCTGCGCTGCTCCGTGGGCGAGGCACTTTCCGGTGAGGCGACCGCCGACTCCTCGGTGATGGCGCCCAGCTCATGCTCCTCCAGGATAAAGAGCGGCTCCTGCAGGTCAAAGCCGTTGGCCTGACCCTGGCCCGGCCCCTGCCGGGGGCTTCGCTCAGCAGACTCCATTCTCTCCCACATCTTCATGACCTCCGACGACGGGCGGAACTCAGCATCCGTGACAGGAGCCGGGTCCTCTGCGCCCGCCTGTTTGAGCCCCGGGAGGTCAAACAAGGCCCATGACGCCACCCGGGAGCCGCCCTGTCTTTTGTACCCTGCTGGAGCTGCTGGCTTCGGGTCTGGCCCCGGAAGGTTGTTGATCCTGGAGACAGAGTTCCTCACCAATCCTTTGGGGATGTAGGAGAGGCTCTCCCGGCGCCGGACGCTGAAGCCGGCATCGTGATGCTCGGCGTTCTCATAGTAGCTCTTAATTTTATCCAGCAAAAGCCGATCTCGGGTGGAGAGAGCGGATTCCTTCTTGCAGGAAGATCTGTCAGGCTCCACTGGGCAGCCTGCATTTGGGGACTCTGTCTCGCTGGCAGAAAAGCCACTCTCTGTGGCCACTCCCACGGCGATGCCCACTTCTGGGGCAGCCTGGGAGCCGAGGGAGTCTGTTGTGCTCCCCCACCGGGCTAGGCCCTTCTCGCTGCCCTCCAGGCTGACCAGCCGTGGCGTCCCGAAGCCACTGCACTTGCCATTGCCATCCTCCGGGGTCACGCTGCTGCACCGAGTGAAGCTGCTGACGAACCGATCAGCAATGACGCTGGCCTGGTCTAGCACAGAGGGGGGCAGGAGGCTCTCGGGCTCCGGGGCTGCCCCCACCACCTCCTCCTCCTCCTCCTCGCTGCTCAGGGCCTTAAGGTCCTCGGTGTTCTCGGCCACCACGAAATCCTCCAGGTCCACCGGGTGGTCCATCCCCAGCAGATCCTGGTGAGTGTCGAGGTCTATTTCCGGGACTTCCGGTGGCTCTGTGTCTGAGGGCATCTCCTCGGTGCCAGGACCTTCCATGACAGCAAAGACGTCCTGATCGGCCCCAGGACCAGGATCCGCTTCAACCTGGGACAGCAGAGAGAGCTCACTGAGTAAAAGCCTCCTTCACAAGACCTAGGGGAAGGAAGGCACGGCTGGCTCACAGTGCGGCCAGGAGCCCTGCAGTTTAGGGCCAAAGGCAAGCAAGGTGAGTGACTTAGAAGTAGCGTGACAGGTCCTTAGGGAGAAGAAAACGCTCATGTCCTTTAATTACCCTGCCGAACCCATGGCCTCACACCCAAGGAAAGTACTAGGAACAGTGGGGGACAGCGGCACCTCCTGGTGACAGCCTGCCTGGGAGCTATCGGCACATAATAGGAGCACATGATACCAGGCTAGGCACTGCCCCGGTTCCAGGGAATGGCTCTCATAGCTCCTTCAGAGTCACGGTACTGGGATGTCCCTGCCTCATGGAAGGCAGCTCCTGAAAGCCCTAAAAGCTCAAACCCAGGCCTGAGCCCCGTGAGGAGCTCTCAACTTCGCCAAGGAACCAGGGCCCTTGTGGGAGCAGGGCCCTAGGGCAACAAACATGTGCTGTTGCCAGCAGAAGTCAGGACAGGAAAACCAGCTCAGGCCAGCCAGCCTCGCCAACTGTGAGCCCCACAGACGCCAACAAAGCACGTCTGAGAACTCCCTCCTGACCACCCCAGGGGTAATCTGAGCCATTAACTGGCTGGCACGGCGTTCCAGAGAGGTGTTTAGGGAAAGGAGCAACAGTCTAAATTCTGAGGCATCAGACCTGATTCCACTAGTTCTAATCCAGAAACTGCAGTGCAGACCCAGGAGCTAGGCCTCCATCGTCCAAAACAGTAGCTAGCAGCACATCTGGCATTCTGAACAACTCAAACACGGCCTGTCCAAATCCAGATCCGCCAGAAGAGCAGAATACACTTCGGATCTCAAAGACTTTGTATAAAAGAAGGGATACAGCCAGGCATGGTGGCACACGCCTGTAATCCCAACACTCGGGAGGCTGAGGCAGGAGGATCACTGTGAGTTCAAGACCAGCCTGGGCTACAAAGTGAGTTCAAGGCCAGCCTGAACTGCATAGGGAGACCCTGTCTCAAAAAGACAAAAAAAAAAGACTTAAAAAAAGGGGATAAAATGTCAGTAATTTTTATATTGATTACATGCTAAAATAATATTTCAGACCTATGGGATTACATAAAACATACTGCTAGAATTAATTTCACCTGTTTCTTTTTTTTTTGTCTTTCTGACACAAGGTTTCACTATGCAGTTCAGGCTGGCCTTAAACTCACTTTGTTGGTTTTTTTTTTGTTTTTTTTTTGGTTTTTCTCTGGTACCAGGAACCGAACTCACGACCTTGCGCTTGCCAGGCAGGCGCTTTTTGCCGCTGAGCTAAATCCCCAGCCCCTTAAACTCACTTTGTAGCCCAGGCTGGTCTCGAACTCACAGCAATCCTCCTGCCTCAGCCTCCCCAGTGCTGGGATTACAAGTGTGTGCCACCATGCTCAGCTCTTTAAATTTTTTTTAACATGGCTACCAGAAAATTTAAATTACACATGGGGCTTGCATTCTAGTATTAGAAGACAGCACTGCTTGCTATGCTCTGAATGGTTCCCCCCTCCCATTCATGTTAGAACCTAATATCCAGTGTGATAAGATTCAGCAGCTGGACCCTTGGAGTCGTGAGTAAGTCACGAAGGCTTCACCTTCACAAATGGGATTAGTTGGGGCTGGGGATTTAGCTCAGTGGCACAGCGCCTGCCTGGCAAGCGCAAGGTCATGAGTTCGATTCCCGGTACTGGAAAAAAACCAAAAACAACAACAAAAAAACAAATGGGATTAGTGCCTTATAAAAAAGCACGGTTGGTCACTTAATCCTGGATTTCTCAGCCTCCAGGACTTCAAGCAACATATTTCTGTTGTTCATCAACACCCAGTCGAAGGTGTAGCCGCCCCAACAGTCGGCAACAGCAAGCTTCATTCCTACCCAGTGTCACCCAGATTCTCAGACTTGTCCTGCCTGTGGCACGCACCCTGGGGTCTGGCCTTAGCTCCTGACCTTCTCCTTGTAATGTGGGAAAAGCAAAGGACACGACTCCACATATCCCACAGACAGCACAGAGCAGTGGGAAGAGGACAGCGGGGCCCCTGAGTCAGACACCCAGGTCTGATTTCAGCTCTGCTCTCGGTGCCAGGGCCACCTCAACCTCTCAGAGCCTCTGTCTGTCCAGAGATGTTGCAGGGAGAAGAAGAAAGAGATAAAACACCAGATACACAGGAGGTGTCTGATCATACTGATGCCCTTCCCCTTTGACAGGTGGCTGCAGGCATGACTTAAAAGTCTTGCTGGCCGGGCGTGGTAGTGCATGCCTGCAATCTCAGCACTCAGGAGGCTGAGGCAGGAGGATCGTTGAGAGTTTGAGACCAGCCTGGGCTACAAAGTGAGCTCAAGGCCAGCTTCAACTGCATAGCAAGACCCTGTCTCAAAAAACCAAAAAAAACAAAGGTCTGGCTGGCTGGTTGGGAGAGGTGGGACCTTGTGCCCTGTCCAAGGCAGCCTAGCTGTGGTGCATTTCCACTAGCTGTGGCCCTTGGCATGGGCCTGCAGCTGACCTAAGGAAGGAGTGCCTTTTTCTAATTCATGGAAGGGAGATGTCTACCCACTGAACCACACACCCCAGGCTGCAAAGGCTTCTTCCCAAAGGAGCAAGAGTCCTGGTAGCAGAGAATCCTTGTTCCCAGTGGGACACCCCAGGTCTGAAAGACCTGCCCAGCCCGTACCCTGAGCTCCAGCTGCCCCTGCACTAACCCCAGCCCACCTGCCAGCCACTCACCTCCGGCAGGGAGGAGATGGACTCGAAGCTCATGCGCTTGCCAGCACTGGTCGGAGACCGGCTGCTAGGCCTTCTGCAATTCTTGGAGCCTTCAGACTCCCGGCGTCCCTTCCCCTGCAGCAGGCAGAGGGCAGCGTCAGCTCCAGGACAATCGGGAGCGCGTCCCTTCTGCATTCCAACGTGGGTAACACCTCCCGCACCCAAGGTCTGTGCTGAGCCAGCCCTGGACCCGAGCCATTCCCGTGCAAGCTGAACAGCCAGCCTGGGGCTGCAGGAAGCCACGCAGGTGTGAGAGGCCCGGCCAGCCCTTCCTTCCGGGCCAGGGGGACAAGCTCTCCCCTAGCCCTGCCGTGTTGGTTCTGCCTCGCCCGCTGCCCCGGCCCGACTCGTGCTCCTCGGGGGTGGTGTACTAGTTAGTGCCCGTCCTGGGGGAGTGCATGCCAGGGGCTCACCAGGGTGTGACGGCGGAGTGAGGGATTAAGAAGTGCTGACAGGCGTGAAGGGGCAGGCAGGGAGGGGACGGGAGGGCTCTTGGATGGGCATGCACAGGCCAGGGAACACGCAAGGAGGGGAGATCAAAGAGACACCTCACCATAGCACCCCGGGAGAAAAGTAAAGCGTTGGCCCGATAGTGCCAGCAGTGGAGGGCGGCCAGCAGGGAGCTGGCAGGGTCAGCTACCTGCTCCGCCACTGCCAGACTCTCCTCCTCCTCCTCCTCCTCCTCCTCCTCCTCCGAGCCTGGGGGCGTTGGCCTGGCCCCCTGCCTGCTGCCTCCATGCCCTGCCAGGTCCTCCAGAGAGACCGGAAAGGCCTGCTCCTCCTCCTCCTCCTCCTCCTCTTCCTCCACCACCTCCTCCTCTTCTTCCTCCTCTTCCTCCTCCTCTCCGGCAGCTCCCTCAGCCTCGGGGTGCAGGCCCCGTGCCTGGGGTGGCCGCCCAAAGTCCAGGAGGGCACCAGCACTGCCCGCATGCTGTTCAGAGCACAAGATGCCCTCGTGACCCACCTGGTGGGCAACCTCCCCTCTTCCTGCGGGCAGCTGGGGGAGGGGAGGCTGTGTAGAGGCCACGCCTAGACGCCCAGTCCCGGCCTCCCCAAGCCTCTGCTGAGCAGCAGGGCAGTTCAGGCGGGAAGGCTGGGTCCTGGTTAGGACATAGGCCCAGAAGACGGAAAATGGGAGATCAATGCTGGGCGGGCACCCTGAGGTGTCAGGGTACGGTGCCAGGGAAAGGCTAGGGAAGGGTCCGCGTGATGAGGGCCGCCGGTCACCTCCGCAGCCCTCACGTCAGGGCCGGCACACAGCAGGTGTGGGCAGGGCTGTGCTGAGTGAGGGCGAGGAGTGCAGAGGGCCGGCGTCTGGGTGTGGCTGCCCCACCCACCCTGGGCGCAGCAGTCTCCACGCCCCCCAGCCTCCGTCGCCCCTCTCACCTTCATTCCTGCTGCTCTGGCTGCTGACACCACCACTGGGCACCCAGCACACGGGTGAGGGGCAGGGAGGGAAACAGACCAGTGAGCAGAGCAAGCCTCCTTAGGGCCCGGGAAGCCTCACTGGGGCGCCTCCTGCCACGGGGCTCTCCTGATCGGGAGTCCGCAGGCCGGGTGTGCCGGGGCGAGCGCAGGGCCCCTCTGCAGATGCAGGGCTGAGGCACTCTCTAGGGGTGCTCTAACCTGTTCCCCACTCCTCACCACCGGGCTGTTTCAGGCATCACCCCCCGGGACTCGGAGGAAGGCCATCCACACCCCTCCCACGCTCACCTTTGTCGCTGAGTTGCCTGAACAGGTGTCTGGTCGGCTCTGAGGAGGAACAAACACAGGCGGGTGAATGCAGGCCAGGAACAGCGACACCTGGCCCGAGTCCCGAGCTCCCCCGGCCCGCCACCAGTTCAAGGTCCACCCCAGCTTGCCCCCAGCAAGCCTCGGGACTTGGAAACGCTCCCAGCAGTGTCACTGGCTACCTCACAGCTTCCTGCAAGGAGGCAGGGCCTGGGCCACTGTCATCCCCCTGCTGAGCCCAAACCCGCAGCATGTTGCCCTGGCCCCTGCATTAGCACATTGGCTACAGGGTCCCCCAGTTCCACAGCCACGGGGCGCGGCGGGCTCTGTGCCACCCCTTCAGAGCGGCCAGCTGCGTCTCCACTCGAGCCCCTCAGCCTCCCACGCAAGGGGCACATCAGCACACCGGCTGCACCTCCACCCAGCCCCTCACGGCAGCCCAGCCGAAAAGCAGGGCGCACCCGACTTCCTACGACCCTTGAGGCCTGCCGTCACGAAGCCTCGCTGCCTGCTGGGGAGCGTGGCCCGGCTGGACAGGTGGCGGCCTGGCTGGACAGGTGGCGGCCCGGCTCTGAGGCAGGACACAAAACATCCACCAGGCTATCCTCACCCTTTCTGGGGACAGACCTGAGATAGGCAGGCATAGAGAAGGGGGCCTTGTGTCAAGAGCTCTCCCTCCAGAGCCTTAGCCTGTCCCTACCGCAGTCCAGCTGGCTCAGGGCCGGTCTCTATTGTCGATGAACGCAGAGGCAGAAGGTCTACCTGTGTCTGAGCTGATCCTTAGCAGCAGAGCAGAGTGAAGAGGTCCTGTTCCCCTAACACACACACGCACACACACACACACACACACGCACGCACACACACCACACACACACACACACAAAACACGCACGCACGCACGCACACACACCACACATACACACACACACTCTCTCTCTGCATCAATACAAACACCTAATTGTTTCTAAAGTGGCAAACAAGATGTTCTACTCGTTCATTCTAAAACTTGTAATTAAGGATATTTAGTAAGTCACAGCTAATTTAAGATGGAACAACAGATACCAGGCGTCCGACAGCGTGCCTGTCCGCCCAGTGCAATTCGCTGGAAGGAAGAGGCAGAAAAGACCTTGCGCCAGCAGAGGAGACGGCTGAGCCGGGCCCTAAGCTCCTGCATGCGGCCTGAGCCTCCCTGTCCTCGGCTCCCCCTCCTGCGCCTACACACACTTCCCAAGTCTCACCGGCTGATTTCCAACGCACGGCGGAGGGAGAGGGGCACCAGAGGTACATACGCTCAACTCAGGAGGCGGAACACTGTCCAGTGTTAGAAGAGCTGCACGACCGACGCACCTCAGATGCAGGCTGTCTCTATGGCAACCCAGCCACGCCTTGGACCCGTCCCCCTGGTCCCCTCCAGCACATCACCAATGATGCTGCGGCACAGGCTCCAGAAACAGGCTCGACCCTGAGTAGCACGCTCAACGCTGAGTACGAAACGCGTTGCAGAAACAGGTCTGCTTCACAGCAGGTAAAACTAAAACACCAAGAGAAGCTAACACATCTCAAAAACCCAACTCTAAGTATTTACAGGCTCGAACCTCAGCCATGTCAAAAATTTCAGCTCTGTAAAACAGCTCATTTCCTGAGTGCCTTGAATAGCTAAATTTTTAAAAAATTTTACCGAGGTATAATTCCCATACCACACATTTCACTCTTTGAAGATGTACAGTTCATGAACTGTAAAGATGGCGGCTTTAAGCATTCAGTTACACAGCAGAGCTAAAGTACGGGTGGGGACGTTGTGGCCATCACCACTGCCACTACCATCACCTACACCCTTCCGTGTGCCAAAAGCTTCCACTGCTAAGCAATGGCAAGTTAAGGCTGAACCATAAAACTTTTGGGTTTTTTTGTTTTTTGTCTTTTTGCGACAGGGTCTCGCTATGCAGTTCAGGCTGGCCTTGAGTTCACTTTGTAGCCCAGGCTGGTCTTGAACTCACAAAGATCCTTCTGCCTCAGCCTCCCGAGTGCTGGGATTATAGGTGTGCACCACCACGCCCGGCTTCCATAAAACTTTTGTAATTGTGCCAAGTTTGACCAGAGTTTGAAAATCTCTCTAGAGTAATACCAAAGAACACAGAGACACAAAAGCTGTCTAGAGATCACCTGGTGCCACCTTTTTGAAGGCCAAAGTTCACATATCAGCCCACATGGTGTTCAAGAGACCTAAGGGACATGGCCCATCAAAACCCAGTGCATATGTGGGTCCAAGCCAAGATACTGCGACCAACCCCTCTAAAATCCTTCTCTCCAGGTGACAGAAAGATGATGGTTCTCATGCCACCCAACCTGCCCTTGGCTGAGGGTCCCCCACATCTGCCCCTGAGCCTTGGGGTAAACGGCAGAGTGAAAACAGATGCAGAAGACACACACACTCGTCGCGGCAGAACTAAGAATAAAGGCGAGGCCTTTTCTTTCTAAACAGACGACTCATTTCAATAAATCCAAGAACACATTAGCAAGTCCAGTCATGGAAGAAAACCCAGGAAAGGAAAATGGAACTTTTTCCTGAGACCCAAAATAAATATTTCCTGTCTGGATCTGGTGCCCCTTGGTCTAACTCATTTTCCTCCTGTCCTGCTTCTGCTCTGCTGGTCCACAACCGGCTGATGATGTCTGAGTGTTATTCCCGGCCAACTTGGTCCGTACTCTGAGTGCCAAAGAAAGGAGGCTCAGATGGAGGGGGAGCCAAGACGAGAGGCCAGGGCCTAAATAAACAAGTGCTCCTAGGGCCTTGCAGAGGTGGGCTGCCCACCCTGGTGGACAAGAAAGCCCAGAGGAACGTGTGCGCAGAGCAGGCGCTGCAGACGGCCCCCAGGCCTCCCCACCCGTCCCTGGGTTTATCAGACAGGGGAAACAGTAGCCCCAGGTGATGTCCCGCTGGATCTAGCGTCCTTCGCAGAGGCTGCTGCCCACACAGCCGCTCTCTTACCAGACTGCCGGCGCCCCTGGCGCGCGTGAGTAGACACCTCGTCCTGGGACGACCAAGCTTTCTTCAGCCGCTCGGGGCTGCGGCGATAGCGACTGGGATCTGCATGCAGGAGGGAGCTCATCAGGCTTCTTCTGGTTTTCCACTGGCCTCAGCCTAGCCTCTGGCCATAGCCGCCCACCCACCCCGGCTGCAGGGCCAGCTGCCTCCGGAGCACCAGAGCGCCCGCCACCCTCCGCCTTCTTCCACGCGGAGGCTCCCGGCACAGAGAAACCTGCCCCTCGCGCACAGCTGACCCCTAGCCCTTGACGGGAGGAGCCCGCCTGTCTTTGCTTCTCCTGCAATAAAAGTCCCAGGCACAGCTTGCCCAGGACACAGCCCGAGCCAGCTGGGAGCACAACTAGGGACAAAACAGGCAGGAAAGGGTAACTTACAATAGGAGTCCATTTCCAAGATGGCTTCCTTGGCCTAGAAGGGAAGGAAAGCCAGAGTTGCCACCTTGCGTACTGGGCCCCCCTCGCCCATCAGGACACCCCACAGCACCGCGCTGCGGCCTGGCACTGCTGTGCTGATGCCGCTGTCCAGCCAGAGCCAGTGTCCAGGCGGTGGGGCCCCAGCAGCCCTCACAGGGACCATTCTCCCTGCTCCCGGCAGGGCGCCCCAGCAGCCGACCTTCTGGGGAATGGTAGCGTGATGGTTCTCCAGGATGAGCCTCTTGATGTGGTGAGTCCAGCTCCGTTTCTCCTCCGCGGTCTTGGCCTGGGAGGGCCCAAGGGAAAGGGAGCTGGAGCTATACTTCCAGGCCAGAAGTTGCCCAGCACAGGAACTACTTCTGCTCGGGAGAAGAGGTGGAAAGGAGTGCGGTGCTGGGCTTCAGCTCCCCACCACACACGCAACCCAAGGGGTCCCCGAAACACGCCCTGCACTGCAGATGAACAATGGGGCTGTGGGCGGCCGGGGAGCCCAGGAGCCAGGAATCAAAGGCGGGCGTGCCAGAGGCTCGTCCCCAGCCCCGCTCCCCTCACCTGGATGTTGTACTGCTGCTTGCTGTGCTTGTAGTGAGTGACGGTGAAGCAGAGGGAGTCTCTGGTGCTCTCGATCAGCATCAGCGAGGAGCACTGGGGGCAGAGGCAGAGGGCAGTCAGACGGAGGGAGGAGACCCAGGCCTCAACAGTCTCGGCACCGGGATGGTTCTAGAGCCCCGAAAGCAGACAAGGAGCAGCGGAGCCCGGGCCCCCGGGAGGCAGGAGGAGCCAGGGCGGCCTGGTTACCGGGATGTGACCCTTGTAGATGAAGTGATCTCCCCGCTTCTTGGTGATGAGCAGTGTTTTGTCGAAAAGGAAGAAAGTCCTCTCGTTGCGCACGCGGTGCACGCGGAAGGTGCCCTCCAGGACCAGCTCCCCGTAGATGGTCAGGTCAGGGCCCTTCCAGTTGATGAGCAAAGACTGGATCTCCTGCAGGACGGAGGCCCGGCACCCAGGTCAGGCCTCATGGGCCCCAGGGCTCCCCACTCAGCCTGCCCAGCAGGGCGCCACGTTCCCTCTCCCAGCCCCACCAGGCCCACCCACCCCGCCTCCCCCGGCCTCCCCGCCCAGAGCACCTGGAGCCGGACCGCGTGCTCGTGCCTCCTCTTCATGTCGTTGATGTACCAGGCCACACAGGTCATGGTGTCAATGGCCTCTTCCACCACCTCAAAGCCATCCTCTTCTTTATCGAAATGTTTGGCGATTTCCTGCTCAGGAGGCCAAGGTTTAGGCAACTCCGTGAGGCCCTGGCCCTCCCTCCCTGGACCCCGCAGCATCCCCCGGAGGCGGCCTGGGCTACCTGGAGCAGCAGGTGGTACTTGAGGATGCGCTGGACGGGCTTCAGCAGGTAGGAGCCCAAGGGCAGCGAATGCTGCAGCAGCTCCTGGCGCTCCCGGAAGAACTTGGCCTGTTGCTTGTCCCGCATACATTCGGTCAGCGCGGCCACCGAGCTGGAGCGGGAAGGGGCGTGCGTCGCTGATGGGGGCAGCCCGTGGAGGAGGAAGGGGCGCCGGGCTCCCCGAAGGGCTCAGCCTCCCTCCTCTCAAGGACTCCAGTACTCACTTGGGGTAGTTGTTGCAGTACTGGGTGTAGATATCAAACTCTTGGCTCTAAGGGGAGACCAAAAAGAGTGACCTCGAGGAGTTTCTCACGTGACTGTAAACCTGGGAGGACCAACAGGCCTCGGTCCCCCACCCCAAGGCTGACAGAGCTATCTTTGCAGCCTTTCCCTCAGGACAGTGGTGGGGAACCTGCGGCACGTGTGCAGCAGCGGGCTGTTCGTACCACGTAACGCTCTAAAAGGTTTGCCGCCACTCATCTAGGGCGTCCCGCCTACCCAGCCATCCCCGAACCTACCCCAGGAGTGCCTTCCGTTCAAGGCACTGTGCCCATCCCTTCCCAGAGGGATCCCCAGAACTCATGTTCTCGATTTGGCCCTTCCTGTCCCTCTGCACTTCCAGCAAGACAGGGCAAGAGGCAAGGACCACGGCCTGCTTATGCTTACCCTTTCCACAAAGCAGCTGGCCACGGCCACCGGGTCACTGTTGCAGCTGTCCAGGTCTCTGAGGAGCTGGCTGGATGGAGAGACAGGCCATCAGACGTGGCCTCTGCAGCCTCCAGACGGAGATGTGCCAGGGCACCCCCTCCTCAGCCCTGCTGTCATGCCAGGAGCAGGGCTTCCACCCTCTGAGTGAGCCCTGCCCCGGGCAGCAACCACAGAAAGGATCTAGTGCACCACAAGGACAGGAGCCAGGGAGCGCTGCATGCTCAGCAAGCAAGCGGGAAAGACGGGGACACTGGTACCCACCTCGGGAGGGGACAGCTCCTCTGTGGGCAGCGTCAAACACAGACGCAGAGATTAAAGGCGGAAGAAGAGAAGGGACTAAGAGGGGCTCCAGTTGGGGAGAGCGGAGGATGGGGGAGAGGCAGGCTGAGCTCCAGCACCCCGATCTGAGAAGAGGGCACTGTGGGAAACACACTCCCTCCCGCCTGTGCGCCTCTCCACCCCACTCCCCTATCCAGGCCTTGCCTGCAGCTGCGTCCCAAACTCCCCCAGCATCCCAGGCCCGTCCACCTCAAGAGACCTGGGGGAGGCGTCCCCTCCTGTCCCCCCGACACCGCTCCCCAGCCAACGCAGTCCGTCCCGCAGCAGCAGACCCGGACAGCTCCTCACCTGGCCCGGCTCAGCCGCTCCCGCCTACCCCGCCTGGCCTATGTATCCCACTAACAGGCAGTCTCCTCGAGGGAGCCCCACGTTTCCTGGGGTCAGTGAGAAGGAGAAGAAACTACGAGATGTGCAGATGGGGGACAGAAAGGAAAAGGACGAAGGAAGAACATCCGTGTGTGTGGGTCCAGCAGGCCCCTGAGAGGGCGCTGCCTTAGGCTGGACCCAGCAAGCACCTGTCCTCAAACTATCTCATCTCCCCTGGAAGTACATCAGCCATTTTCCCAGCTGGCATCTTCCCCCCAGCACGGAGCTAAGTATGCCTCTTTCAAAGATGGAGCACCAGATCTCCCCAGTCCTCAGAGATCCAGACCAGACCCACGTGCCAAAAGCTCAGAGTCCAAGGACACGCGGGGCTCCTCCCTGGGCCGGCCCTGAGCGGCCCTGGGCAGCAGAACACAGTGAGGGTGAGGCCTGGGCCCTCCTATACCTGTTCAGCGCATAGATGCTCTCTATGTTCCCGAAGAGAGCGCTGACTTGCTCCGCCTTCAGCAGCCCGGGCGTTTCGATGATCTTCAAGAGGTAATCCTGCGTGGACAGAGGCACTCAGCGCCCGGTTGGCCCCGTCTCCACCCTGGCCCCTCACTTCACCTAGCCACAGGTCAGCGCTGTCCTGCATTTCACAGCTGTGATGCAACTCCACAGGCAGCACCCACTCTGCCGGGCTGGGAAGTGTCCACCCCAAAACTCATCTCCACTTGGCACCTCAGCAGGCGACCCTGCTTGGGAACGGGGGCCTCGAAGGTGTCATTGCTAAGACTGCCAGGATGATTTCACATAGTACTCAGAGTGAGCTCGAAATCCAATGACTGGTGTCCGCGTAAGAGGAGAGGACGCGGAGCCCAAGATAAAGGGACGAGATGCGGGCGGTGTAGCCACAGGCCAAGGAACACACAGAACTGCCAGCACCCCCAGAATCTAGAGGACCGGCACAGAATGCATTCTCCCGGGGGCTCCGGGCCACGCCCTGACCTGGGACTCCCGAGAGAAAACTGATTTCTGCTGTTCCAGGCGACGTGACTAGGGCGTTTGCCTTTGTACAGTAACAAGCCCTACCCCAGCCCTGGGGGTCAGCTGTGTCCTTGCTTCACAGATGAGAGACCCGCAGCTCTGGAGGTTATGTGCCCCCTGAGACCCACAGCCAGGAAGAGGCAGAGCAGGGACCCGGATGTCTGTCCGGGTTCAATCCCTGCAGAGCACCGCTATCCGGTTGGGGCCCCTCCGCCCCCGTCAACGGTGCTTACTTCCTGGGCACCAGCAGGAGGTGTTGCCACCCAAGCTGCCAGTGTGACTCGGTGTGCTGAGGACGCGGGAGAAGTCACAGCCTGCGGGGACAGGAGCCCACGCCCCCCCACTGCTCCCTGGGAGGCAGAGGTGCCGGGGAGAACGTCCTCCTGCGCCTCGCCCCGACACCCACCTCCACGATGCTGCGCAGGTCCTGCACGTACATGCGCTCCGTCTCCACGATCTCCCGCACCACTCGGCCCAGGTAGCTGAGCTTGTGCTGCGTGCCCCCCGCAGCCCGGCTGCTGAGTGGGGAGAGGGGTCCCTTCGCATGCAGCCAGCCGCTGGAATTGTTGTTGCTGTTGGGGCCGTGCCCGTTCTGGGCTGCAGCCTCGGGGCCAGTGGGCTCCTCCATGACGCTGCGGCTGTCACGGGAGGAGCCGGATGAGGAGGTGGTGGACGTCAGGCTTGCTGGCCGCTCCTGGCTGCCATCTTGGTGCAGGGTGGCAGAGACAGGCATCCTGGCATTGTTGCCTGGGGAGGGCACCTCGGGGAGATTCTGGAGTAAAACAGACAGATGGAGGGTCACCCTCTGAGTCCCCACAGAATCAGAACATGGAAAGGAGGCTGCAGAGAGGAAGACAGCAGAGTGGGAAGGCACTGTCAGTGCAATGGTGTGACAATGTGAATGCACTTTACATTTTTCACCTGCACTCTTAAGTGTTTCAAGATGGTGCTGGGTATAGTGGCACACACTTATAATCCCAGCATTCAGGAGGCTGAGGCAGGAGGATCGCTGTAAGTTCGAGGTCAGCCTGGGCTATACAGCAAGTCCCAGTCTCAACAAAAAAGTTTTAAGATGGGAAGTTTTTATTTGTTTGTTTGTTTGTTTTTTGAGACAGGGTCTCACTATGCAGTTCAGGCTGGCCTTGAGCTCACTTTGTAGCCCAGGCTGGTCGAACTCGAAACAATCCTCCTGCCTCAGCCTCCCGAGCGCTGGGATTACAGACGTGCGCCACCATGCCCCGCTGGCAAGTTTTAAGTTACATTTACTTTATCACAATTAAAAGTAAACTGGTTTTTGTTTTTGTTTTGTTTTTTCCTGGTACCTTGCGCTTGCCAGGCAGGTGCTGTGCTGTTGAGCTAAATCCCCAGCCCCTTAAAAGTAAACTGAATGTGAGGAGGAGGAGGAGGATCATTCCTTCAGACTCTACAAGCGCTGACAAGGGTGCCCCGGGGACATCCCTTCTGATCCAAGCACCTCACCTCCATCCTTCTGGGTGGAGAAAGGGTGGCCCACCTGTAAGATGAGGATGGATAGGGCTCACCCCAAGGCTGTGCCCTCAAAGACAAAGTGACCTGATGCCCATAGGCTTCTGAGCGCAGTACACAGCACACAAAATTTTCTATAAACCGAGTACAAGCGATGATGCTGACAGGCATCAGAAGGCTCATCCCAAGCGCGCACCCATCCAAGGGTCGCCGTACAGGGGTGGGTCGGTGACCTTCTCCCCAGGACTGCAGCATCTCAGGGCACCGCTGACCTCACCGCGCATCTGAACCCCTCTGGATGCTGATGTGGGGAAGAGGGAGGAGACAGCGGCACGACTGAGCCAACCTCGCCCCACTCCACCCTGGCCCCTGGTACAGGCAGGCCGCTGCAGCAGCCAGGCCAGGAAATTCCCCACAGCTGAGCCAGCGCACAGTCTCTGACAGCCCTGTGGGCACAGCGGGTCAGAGCAGCCCCGGAGACAGGAAACTGCACCCAGGTGAGGCCGGCACAGCCCCAGGCAGCCTTTACTCCCAGAGCAGATGGCACAGGCCACCCTGGCAACGAGGGGCACAGCACAGCGGCCAGCGCCTACACCGGCCATGGCCTGCAAGAAAGACCGGACACCTTGTGGCCCCCTCGCACGACTGGAGTGCACCGGCCCCACCTTCTAGAAAGCTCACTCCAGTGCTACTTCCGCAGGGGGAAACGTCCCCGGGAGCCCACTCACTTCTGCTGACCCAGCCCGCGAGTGAGAAGCAGCCACAGCACAGACCCGGCCCCAGGCCTGAGCTCCGCTCCAGCACCCTCACGTCACCCCTACTCTCTCCCCTCTGCCCCCGCTTGGGAGCTTTGAAGATTTGTTCTCTCCGCCCTGCGGGACCTGCAGGTCTCCCATTGGAAACGCCCCCCACCCGGGGCCCCGCCACTTGCTCCCACAGCCCCCTGGGTTCCCTCTTCGGGTCGCACGGACCGTGCGCCACTGTGCCCCTCCTGAGCCACGGCAGTTACTTCAAGGCTTTCAGAAGTCGTGAGGGCTGATTTGCCAAATAACACGGAGATCAAATGGATGCTTCGACTAAGCTAAAATCAGGCAATCAGGCGCGTCCAAACCTGCTCACCATCCACCACCAACCCAGCCAGGACCTCCGAGGGTGCTGTGTCACTATGTCTCCATGGAAAGCAAGGTGGAGAGGATTACCACACCAAGAGCGCCTCCCTCCCCGACCGGCCTCCTCCTCCAGCAGAGCTTTTGCACTTTATCAGCTGCCTCTCCACAGGCCAGGCCAGGGGCAACATCCATTCCAGCGCAGGGGGGTGGGGGACAAAGGCCCACGCACACCTCCGCTCCCACCTGGACCCCTGGCCCAGCCCACCCGGGCCCACACATCCTTGAAAGCAGCTAAGCCCCCGTCTCCCCTCCTCATCAGTCCCAGCGGGGACAACAGGGTACGGACTTGTGGCCTAAGACCTTTCCCAGATTAGCCCTGAGGTCAGTCTGCTCCCGTGGGGAGGCTAAACGGAAAGGGCCCAAGTCCCACATGGATTTTGCAGCCAATCAGGTCACGGCCCGGAAGCCGAGGATCAGTCAGCTCCACCCCACGCGCGTGCACCGGGGAGATCTGTCTCCAAAGGGCACCTCCCGGGGCTCATTCGGCAGAGATCCCATGACATGAGGGTGGCAACATAAAATGAACTTCAAGCCCTGAAATGTAAGCACCTTTTCCACTCGGAAAAGTTTTCTCTGGTAGAACACAGCTGCCTGCCTGCAAGCCCAGCTTTCCTTCTGAAAGTAGAGTCCACGCCGCCATCCTCCCAGGGCCTCGACCGATGCCCAAGGAGCAGCCCAGGTGCCTCGTTCTCGTCGCTGTGCACAGGTCTCCACCTCCCCACAACGCCTCCGTGCAGTGGCCGTGTCTGGACCTCACTGCCTAGATGCAAAACCGAAGCCATGAATAGCAACTGGTAGAATCTGGACTAGAAAAAGCCTCCAGAATCCTCATGTCCCAGCCACTGCCTCTTTAGTAATAATGGATTTCACGCCAGCCGGGGCCACCAGCAAAGGATTAGTCACAGCCCTGGATGCCATGGCTTTGCTAGAGCATGAACTGTGGGGGACACGGGAAGGCTCAAAAGACTGGGGCGGTAACACGGCACCCCAAAGACTGAGGCGGCTATTTCCGCACCTGCTGCTCTACGGGGCCAGGCCGCTCCCTCGCCCGCACTGGAGCAACAAGGTAAAATACAGATTTTATTTAAATACAGGCTGAAGGATCACAGACAGTAGGGACACAGAAAGCAGAAGGGTTGAGCTGGGCATGGTGGCACACGCCTATAATCCCAGCACTCTGGAGGCTGAGGGAGGAGGGTTGCTTTGAGGCCAGCCTGGGCTGCACAGTGAGAGCCCTCTCAAAAAAAGAAAAGAAAAGAAAAGAAAAAGGTCCTCATGGCAGAATGGAGAAAAGAAGGGAAGGAAAAAAAAAAAAAAAGCAAAGTCCCCAGACTGCACTGTGAATTTCTCCAATGGTGAAAGAAGCCCCTGGTGACCCAGGGACCCACCCTCGATCACCAGGGCCTCTCTTCCGGCAGGAGGACTCCGGGCCAAAAAGGGAGGGCTGAAGGGAAAACAGAGCAGCAAGCACAGCAAAGCAGGCCCAAGTGCAGACCATCAGAGGCTGAAGTGACAAAGACTCGTACTGCTATGCTTGAACGCTGGTGTGTGTGTGTGTGTGTGTGTGTGTGTGTGTGTGTGTGTGTATGTGTCCGTGTCCTACCACAGAGCGACATCCCCAGCCCTAAGCTCCCGCTACGTCTGAGCAGGTTCTGGCTACGCAAGAACCTTGAGAAGCCCACACAGCCTCCACACAAAGGGCTCAGCCCCCCATAGCAAGCAGCGCCTGTGTGCTTCCTGGGCAGGGGCGAGCTTCCTTCCTATGGGGTAAGCATCAGCCCTAGTGTAAGACTCACCTGCAAGCCAGGGGCAGAATTGGTTCCTCACACTCATCTTGGAAGACTGCTGGGGAGGGGGCGGAGGCAGGCAGCAGCCACGCTCAGGCCAGCCCACCCCACCCCACCCATCCGGAGGCCCCAGAGTACCCACTCCACTCTGCTCTGGGCCGGACGGCCGCTTCCCTCTTTCAGCATGAGTCAGTCCATGAGTCCAGCCGTTATCAGTCCATGAATCATCTGTCTGTAGAAAATTCTACATCCCAAGTCCCACGCTGTGAAACCTTCTATTTTTTATTTATTTATTTATTTTTTGGTCTTTCTGAGACAGGGTCTCGCCACACAGTTCAGGCTGGCCTTGAGCGCACTTTGTAGCCCAGGCTGTTCTCAAACTCGCAAAGATCCTCCTGCCTCAGCCTCCCAAGTGCTGGGATAACAGGCATGTGCCACGACATCCGGCCACGAAGCCCTCTTTACCAAGGCTGGAGAAGACCTTTGTTTTTTTGATGGGTCTGAGATGTACAGATGTACACCTACTTTAAGGATTCAGGGTCAAGAGAGGAAGGGAGTTCAGTCTGTCAGCCAGTCTCTGTCTCTGTCTGTTTCTCTCTCTCCTCCCTTAACTTTCCCTAAATTTAAAGGTAATCCACACCCTTCCTCCACCCACACCTGCCAGGCTACCCAGCCCCACCCCAGGCCTGAATCTCCCCAGGCGGCAGCAGGCAGGCTCCGGCAGGCTCCTGGGATTCTGGGCAAGGGGGTGGGGGGACCAGGCCAAGCCCCACATCCTTCCCTTCGCAGCTATGCCTCAGCACCGTGCCCTCAACCTGACCCTGCAGGGAGGACACCCGGGAACATGCAATGGCCTCTTGCCAGGGAGACAAAGGGGACAACTACACCCTCACTCACTGTCCCTTCAGAAAGGATCTTCCCACGGGGGCACCCACCTGGAGTCTTTGGACCTGTTGCTTCCGGTGGTCCTGGGGGATCCCCAGGATTCAGCCACAATGCTGCTGCTCCGCCCCGCCCCGCGCAGACGACAGCAGGAGCGGTGGGGAGGCTGACGTCATGCTCTCACCTACTCCACCTCACCCCACAGGGAAGCTCCACAGCCCACACCCGTTCGGAGGTGGAGGCGGGCAGAAAAGCAGCGCGGGGGCTCCCCCGAAGGTAAGGCTCCAAAGTCCTCGGGAAGAATCCAGCCTGGACCTGCGCACGGGAAGGCCTTGAGAAGCCTCCGCGGCCTCCGTCCACCTGCCCCCCTGCACCTCGGCACAGCTACGCGCCTGTCCTGGACACCCCAAAGATCTCAAACGCCAGGGCCACCGCAGGACCTCTGACCTGCCCTGGAGCAATCCCCAGCTCCACTTCCAGAACCGCCTCTGGAAGGGAGCCAGAGCGAGGCAAGAGAGAGCAGCCACAACTTTTCCAGACAAACAGGGTAGGGAGCAATCCAATCGGGTTGGACAAACTCTGGACAAACTCTGCTGTGCTCTCCCGGGCAGCTCGGCACGCCCCACGCCACGCCCCTCGCCGAACTGTCCCCAGGAAAGCCCAGCTCGGCGGCGCTCTGGGGGAGGGAGGGCCCCCAGAGTTCCGGCCCTTGCCTCTGCCCCAGCTCCTAGCTCCCCGATGCCCCCAGGCCTCCTGCAGACTCAGGGCCCAGCCCCAGCGGGCTCCCTGGGGAGCGACTGCATCCAGGGTGCACAACGTGTCCCGCAGTGGCTGCGCAGGCTGTGGGACGGGTTCCGGGCCACCCGGCCCAGCCGGCTCATTCATTTTCCCTGAGGAATTTGTTTTCCCACCACCTCAGACAGCAGGGCATGTCGGGAAAGGACTGCGGCCACGCCGTGGAGCCTCCCACCTGCATTCCAGGAGGAGGTCAGCGCCTACACGAAGCCCAGAAAACTCCCTTGGCCGCGCCTGGGGAAGGAAGGGAAGCCCCTGGCACCTCTCTTCAGCGGGAGAAGGGTCATCCACGCCCCCAACATTTACTCATGTTGTTTCTTAAACCCGGATTGAGTCCTCAGACCCTCCTCCTCCTCTACAAACTTAGCCAAATCACTTCCAGTCCTTCCCGGCCTATATACAAAGGCTAAACAACGCCCCCTACCCAGGCTACCTACAGCCGAATTCTCAGAACACAACCTACGGCACCTTACGTGGCCAGGGACTGTAAATGCAATTAAATTAAGGGTCTCCCCGACAGGCAGGACTGGGAGGCTGAACACAGGGCCTTCACACTGAGCTATATCCCCGGCCCTTTTTATTTTTACTTTGACACAGGGTCTCATTAAATCGCCCAGGCTGGGCTTGAGTTTGGGCTCATCCTGCCTCAGTTTCCCAGAGCGCTGAAATTACAGGCATGAGCCAGCACACCTGCCTCCAATTAAGGATGGGAAATTACCCTAGATCGTCTAGGTGGGCCCAAAGTAATTAAGAGGGCCCCAGCAGGAGTCAGAGTCAGACAGTTTATGTGATGACAAATGCAGACGGAGATCAGAAGACGCTATGCTGCAGCCTCTGGAGATGAAGGAAGGGGCCACAAGGCAAAGGACAACGAAACAGATCCACCCTGGAGCACCCGGACAACCCTGCGGACCCAGCTTAACTTCTGGCCTCCAGAACTTTAAAGTAATAAATACTTGTCGTGTTAAGCCACTACATTAGTGGAATTTTTTCCAGCAGTAAAAAGCTAGTACACATTCTTCTTTGAACTTGAGTGACCCTGGATATGACCTGAAGCACAGGTCCGTGCTATGCAAGCATTGCTTTTAGACCCGCTAGTGAAATGCCCAGGGGGAAGGCATCACTAGGTGCTCAGTCAGTGCTTGTCAGGAGGATTGCAGGATCGATCGTGCCCGGAACTCCTCTCGCCACTCCCACAATCAGGAGAAAAGTAAACAGTGAGGAGGTCAGGACGAAAGCCAGTTCCTTCTAGACGAAGGAGTATCCACATTAGTCACTGCCAGCGAGTTTCCGGTGTGCCCAGAGGTACCCAGGCTCAGTGACTGCTCATTCACCCCCGCACCCCTGTCCCACCGGGTCCCCGCCAAGGGGCTAGTGCAGGGCACAGGCGCCCTGCCACGCCTCAGACTAAGTGATCAGTCGCAACAGACCGGGAGGAGGGCAAAGCGCCAAGTTTGGATAAGGAACAGCAATGACCAAGTCCCCCTCCAAATATCCCAGGAAAAGCTGCCTACCAGGAAGTTGCAGCAGCAGCAGCTACTGAAGCCCAACAAGGGCAGATGCTATTGATTATATGAGAAACAGACGTTGCTCGCAGATGGGGCAGGCCAGACCAGCTGCCAGCACCACTCATCACCACGCAGGGAAAGGACACAAGGTCCCCAAAAGACAAGGCAGTCAGAGGATGCCGTAAGACACTGTCACACAAGTCACCCCTGGAAATGAGGGGCAGAGCCAAAGTTCCCAGGGGTCCCCCCTCTCGCAACTGTGGGTCAACAAGACTCCTAGGGGCCGGGTGTGCAGCTCAGCAGTTTGGTGCTTACCCAGCAGGCATGAGACCCTGGATTCCAACCCCAGCACCACCCAAAATATAAATAAACAAAGGCTCATAGGCCCCCTGCTCCTTATTAGTGGAAGTCCGCAAATACCCCTCCTACGGGTCCCATCCCTATTCGGTGTGCCGCTTGTGTGAGGACTCTAGGCCGGGAAGAGGGCTGCAAAAAGGAGAAGAGTCACCCTTGCAGAGCTACGGCATCTGCCGCTGCACTGTGCAAAGACACTGGGGAGCCCCACAGCAGCAGAAGGGCTCCGCCAGGCCCCGCCGAGCTCTAGGCAGAGAACAGAGAGCGCAAGCGCACACAGGATCTACAGGCGTGAAATGCACTCAGTTCATCCTCGGGCTTTGGAGTCAGGCTGGTGCGGTTTAAACCCAGGGCCTCTATTTTCCTGTCTGCATGGAGCCAGGGGCAAGTCACCCGACCTCACCAGGCTTCAGGTTCCCCACTGGCAAAATGTACCAGTGGCACCCGCTCTGGATTATCTCCAGAATGATGATAATACAAATAACCAGTGCATCTGACCCAGGGTAACTCCACCAAGAATGACCGTGGTGATGCTGGTGACAGTGGGTAAATCTCGTCTGTTCCATTAGCAGCAGTACAGGAGCTTTTTCTGACTGGTAGCTACTTTTTTTTTTTTTTTTTTTTTTTGAGACAGGGTCTGGCTATGCAATTCACGCTGGCCTTGAGCTCACTTTGTAGCCCAGGCTGGTCTGGAACTCACTATGATCCTCCTGCCTCAGCCTCCCGCATGCTGGGATTTTAGGGCTGCACCACCATGCCCAGCACCCATATTTTAAATTAGTATAAAGGTACAAGTTCCCAGCACTTGGGAGGCTGAGCAGGAGGATCACTGTGAATTTGAGGCCAGCCTGGGCTACATATTGAGACCCTGTCTCAGAAAAAAACCCAGGGCCATGTGTGTGTATATATATATATATATATATATATATAAACTTGGTGAGCCAGCATAACCTCAACCTCCCTCCCTCCTCAACCTGGCGTTTATCATTGCTCTACGGTCCCAACATTGGTTCAGACTATCCTCACATAAAGGGCAAATACAAAACAATTTAGCTGGAAAGAAAACAGCCTGATACCCACACTCCACCACAGGGTGAGTGAGTCAGAGTCCCACCGCTCCAGGAGGCAGGGTACGTTCCTCCACACCCCTCGGGAAACACAGCTGTACCACTAGGAGCTCGGACAGACAAGAGCCCTGAACCACAGGTCTTGAGCACAAACAGAGCTAAGGCATCGTGCGCAGCAAAAGCACAAAGGAGTGACCAGTAGCACCACCCTTGACACTGTCCTCGGCTTGTAGCTCCAGCTTCAGGGTGTACCTCGGGGGCAGCCAGGCGTGACACAGAGCAGCAAGAAACTGCGAAGGGCCCGGGCCTGGTGTTCACACATTTCCCAAGTCCCCGGGGATATCAAGTGGGGGAAAAGGAGACGGGAAAAGGAGCTGGGGACGACAGCCAGCACTCTTCAAAAGCTCCGCTCCTGAGGCCTGGACACGGCGCAGGCAGGCAAGCTCTTCGCGCCTCTGTGGCTACTCTCCCGCTTGCGGGGAACCCTCGTCGTCCTTCCTACCAATTGTGAGCTTCAGTCTCTCAAGGACAAGTATTTATCAAGTAGCTACTCCGCACAAAGACACTTTGGTGGCCTTGTGGCAGAGACAATGATGAATCACACTGCCCCTGCTCCCAAGAGCTCAGATTCACTAGGAGTGACAAGACCAGTCCATCTGCAGCAGAAGGAGGTAGCGACTAGGCTCTCGGGCTGGGGGGGCCTCTGCGACAGAGGCTCCGCACTCCAGCCCCAGCACCTCAGAACCAAACCGAAAAGAACACAAAGGGAGTGTGTCACAGAGGTTTAGGAGTTCATTCAACACTCCTGAGCACGCTCAGGAGCGCTAGGCCCTGGGGATAACTGAAATGAATGACACATTGTCTCTGTCTTTGAGGAACTTGAACTCTAGAAGAAAAGCAACCATATAAACAGATAACCCACAAAACAAGGATGCCGGTACAGAAGCGTGAATAAATAAACCACGCTAACCGAAGCAGCAGCAGCAGTAACAGCACCGCTGCGGCGGCGGCGGCGGCGGGAGATGTGGAAGCATTCCTGGAGGAGGGGGCGTCTCAAATGATGGGTGAGCCGGGTACTGTAATCCCAGCACTCGGGAGGCTGAGGCAGGAGGATTACTTTGACTTGGAGAACAGCCTGGGCTACAAAATGAGCTCAAGGCCAGCCTGAACTACATAGTGAGACCCTGTCTCTGTCTCAAAAAGACCAAGAAAAAAAAAAAAGATGGGTGAGCCTTTGCCAGGTGAGAGGATATCTGAGGGCACCTGATGCCAAGGGAGCAGCACACACGAAAGCCAAATCCTACCTAAAAGCCCCTGGACCTCCCAAGACCCTGTACCTCCGGCAGCTGGGGACCTGGCTGGCAGTTCGGCTACACACAGATGAATCTTCCTGGCTTTGTGCAAAAGGTCAGACAACCATCAAGACAGGTGGAAACAGGAGTCCATGGGACCAGTCACGAGAATGTGTCCCGAACAGGTACAAACGGAGGCATGGGGCTGTGGCGACAGGTCTTTCCCTAGAGCCAAGCAGTGCTGGAGAAGAATGCAGAGGTCTGAGAGTTGCACAGAACATTGGTAGGAGAAACAGCGCCTCAGGGAACACGGGTCAGAGGGAGGAATGAGACCCATTCCAACCCCTGCGGAGGGGAGAAACGTGGCCCAAAATAAAGCCGAGAACGCGAAGGTATGCATACATTAGATGCTTCTCAAAGCAGGAAGGCGCCACCTACTCTATAAAACCCAGATGCCAGGTGTTAGCGGGGGTCCTAGCCCAAGGGGACGCTGCCTCTGGGACTCCCCCTGGGCCGGTGGACAGCTACCCGGTGGGCCGTGTGGCAGCTCCCTCCCAACACAGCTCCCTTCCCGCTTCCGCCAGGAGCCTCCAGATCCGTGAAGAGCTGACAGCTGAGTAGGCCCCTTCCCAACCACCCTGGCCCTCCCCATCCGCGGTCTCCTCTTCACAGGTACCACGGGGAAAAAAACAGAAAAGTTCCCCCAAGCCCTCTCCTTTACCCGGGGCTCTGAGTGGGACCTAACAGGGAACTCAGGGGAGTGGAAACTACCAGTGCGGTTCCCCTCGCGGTCCGCACCTTGTGAGACGGGGGTTTCCCACAGCATCTGCTCCCCCTACTCCCCTCGGCTCCCCAGGGGCCTCCATCAGGGAGGCCCAAGAAACTCATCCAACCAGTTCCCAGTGGAGGAGAGGAGGAGGCGGAGAGGAGCGTCCTCCCTGAGCTGCATTTAGACAGGTGCAGCAGCTGCCACCGAACCCCAGGTTCTGGGGTGGACGTGGCATGAGCATCACAGCAGGGGCACCAGAGTCTGCTCCGGGAAAAGTGAGGCCCGGTCAGGGTAACAACCTGCCCTCTGGACCTCCCTGCACCTGCTGCCCAGAGCTACAGAGACGGTGGGTGCTGGTCGTGTCTGGCTTGGCATCAGTGAGGGTAGGCGACCTGCTCTACCAGCTGCCGCTAGATTTGATCCAAAACAACCACCCCCTGTGGATTCTGGGAAGAGGAAACTTCAGGAAGAAATGGGAGATTAACTCTGCTCTCCCCAGGGAGCGTGTGAACGCCTGTGCGCTGGCTCTCCCCAGGCTCATCTTCCCCTAAGCACTCCAATTTGAAGA